TTTGTTCGATGGCCGAGCGGAGTTGCCGTGGCGACGGTTCACGACTCCTCGACGACATCGCCGAGGCTGCTTGCGTTGTGGCCGAAACGTCGTGAGAATAATTTTATTATGTTTTATTTTTTAGTTTCATTATTTCCCTTCTACGTGACTTTACCGAAAGAACCAAGAGATGAATCCCTGCAGTCACGAAAGCTTTAAATCGAAATTTATATCAGCAAGGTGTCGCGGGTCATTCGTGGCAAGCGCTTTTGCACGTCATGAGCGGATGTAGTAAGTAATATTGAAAACACACTTTTTTTTAAAACACGCTTTTATTAAATGTACCGTACTAGTGATGGCAGAACTCCACGACTCCAGGAAATGGCCCCGTAACTTGCCATAACGTAAGGCCAATTACAGCCAACGTCAGTTGAGCATGGACAATTAGACCCAAGCCAAAACATAACATATAAAAAAAGATATTTTATTTTATTTCTTATGATAGAAGATAGTATTGTCATCAGTATCACATAAGTATACCAAGTTTGCAGTCGATACCGCATTGGGAAGTGGGTAAAAATCGAGTTACAAGATTTGAGGATACAACAACGACAACAACAGACAGAGTGAGTTCAAAGAAAGCGTGTAAAATATACGTGGAGGACCGCAGGATCTTGGCCAATTGTCGGCACTACGTTGCCTGGTGTGCAGGAGGTCGTGGGTTCGATCCCAACTCTGACGCCTGCTGTGTATTTGGAGTCTGCGTGTCTCTCTCTCATCATCATCACGGTGACTAGGAGATGTTAACTACCTCGCCTGGTGTGCAGGAGGTCGTGGGTTCGATCCCAACTCTGACGCCTGCTGTGTATTTGGAGTCTGCGTGTCTCTCTCTCATCATCATCACGGTGACTAGGAGATGTTAACTACCTCGCCTGGTGTGCAGGAGGTCGTGGGTTCGATCCCAACTCTGACGCCTGCTGTGTATTTGGAGTCTGCGTGTCTCTCTCTCATCATCATCACGGTGACTAGGAGATGTTAACTACCTCGCCTGGTGTGCAGGAGGTCGTGGGTTCGATCCCAACTCTGACGCCTGCTGTGTATTTGGAGTCTGCGTGTCTCTCTCTCATCATCATCACGGTGACTAGGAGATGTTAACTACCTCGCCTGGTGTGCAGGAGGTCGTGGGTTCGATCCCAACTCTGACGCCTGCTGTGTATTTGGAGTCTGCGTGTCTCTCTCTCATCATCATCACGGTGACTAGGAGATGTTAACTACCTCGCCTGGTGTGCAGGAGGTCGTGGGTTCGATCCCAACTCTGACGCCTGCTGTGTATTTGGAGTCTGCGTGTCTCTCTCTCATCATCACGGTGACTAGGAGATGTTAACTACCTCGCCTGGTGTGCAGAAGGTCGTGGGTTCGATCCCAACTCTGACGCCTGCTGTGTATTTGGAGTCTGCGTGTCTCTCTCTCATCATCATCACGGTGACTAGGAGAGCTTCTTGGTTCTTTCGGTAAAGTCACGTAGAAGGGAAATAATAAAATAATTTTCACGACGTTTCGGCCACAACGCAAGCAGCCGTCCTCAGGTGAAGACCAGGTCTGTCGGGGAAGACAGCATCTGACTATCTACGTGACTTTACCGAAAGAATCAAGAAGATGGCTAGGAGATGTTAAATATCTCGCCTGGGTGTGGCAGGAGGTCGTGGGTTCGATCTCAACTCTGACGACGCCTGCTGTGTATAGGTGCTTTGTGTGTCTTTCTCCTCAATCATCATCACGGTGGCTATGAGATGTTAACTATCTCGCCTGGGTGTGCAGGAGGTCGTTGGGTTCGATCTCAACTCTGACGACGCCTGCTGTTATATGGAGTTTGTGTGTCCTTCTCTCACCTCATCCATCACGGTGGCTAGGAGATGTTACTACCCGTCGCCTGGTGTACAGGAGGTCGTGGGTTCGATCCCAACTGCTGAAGCCCTGCTGTGTATATGAGTTTGCGGTGTCTCCTCTCTCCCCGTGGTCGCCGTGGATTTTTCCTCCGGTCCTCCGGTGTTTCCCTCCAAGTTCAAACTCAACCGTCGCGCGGTTTCAAGGTACATTATTTGGCCGCTATAAATGTCCACGCGACGATGGCCACTTCGTTGAGCCATCGTTTGTGGCCGTCGTTCGGGGACGGGTCGCTTCTGAAGAAAAGAGCTTCACACAGCTCGGCGGGGGCTTTACCCGGGAAGAAAAACACAAAATCGTTTTAGACCCCGAGCTCCGATCATCCGATGCCCGTCAGCGTTCTCTGCGATTTCCGTTAGACCGCGCTGTTGCCCCCAGATTCCGTTACCGCTATCCAGCGCGCGACGACAAGTGCCGTAATTCCGTTACCGCGACGTGCGCATATCCGTCCGCCCTGGTGTGTGTGTGACCCCTGGCACATGCTGGGTCGCACCCGTGACCTCCTGCCAGCGGGCGTTCGACACTCACGTGGTAGCCTCAGGTGCACATGGCCTGGCACAAGCGTCGTGGTGACGTCACCCAGGGGGGCCACTTAGTGGCGAATGGCGGTTGTGTGTTGTTGTTTGCGCGTTGTTGTGTGTGCGGTGTTGTGTGCCGTGCTGTTGGTGGCAGTGTAAGGCGTCAGCGCTACGCTGCGCTACAAGCCCGGCGACCCCGGGCGGCCACACCGGTGATGGTTATCCTGAACCGGTTCTGGGGCCCTCCCCTAGGCCGACTCAGCCTCAAATTAGCACTTGGTGCGGTGCGTAGTAAACATCGGGGCTGGGGAGACAATGGCGGCCGGGCGTGGTGCTGGCCACCCACCGCCTAGTGTGCCGTTGCCGGCCTTCATAGGTGCTCGCTAACAGCACTTGCCCCAACAGTCTGTTGAGGCTATTTGGTGGAGGGAATCTTTGTCTTTGCTGTTAGGCGTGGGGTGATTGATCAGCGCAGCATCAATACGACCTGGCACCTGCCAGCTCGATACTATTGAAGTCGCCAGATGCCCAGCCCTCTCTGTGTCTGCGTCTGTGGCTGTGAGCGGACATGCGCGGCTGTCTGCATGTGGCTGTGTGGCCACCGTGGTTTGCGGGATGTTACTCCCTCGCCTGGTCTACAGGAGGCCGTGGGTTCGATCCCGACCCGGATGCCTGCTGCCGTATATTTGGAGTTTGCGTGTCTCTCTCTCTCATCATCATCACGGTGGCGAGGAGATGTTGACTCCCTCGCCTGGTATAACAGGAGGCCGTGGGTTCGATCCCGACTCTGACGCCTGCTGCCGTATATTTTGGAGTCTGCGTGTCTCTCCTCTGTCATCATCATCACGGTAGCTAGGAGATGTTGACTCCCTCGCCTGGTATACAGGAGGCCGTGGGTTCGATCCCGACCCTGATGCCTGCTGCCGTATATTTGGAGTCTCCGTGTCTCTCTCTGTCATCATCATCACGGTGGCTAGGAGATGTTGACTCCCTCGCCTGGTATACAGGAGGCCGTGGGTTCGATCCCGACTCTGACGCCTGCTGCCGTATATTTGGAGTCTCCGTGTCTCTCTCTCATCATCATCACCACGGTGGCTAGGAGATGTTGACTCCCTCGCCTGGTATACAGGAGGCCGTGGGTTCGATCCCGACCCGGACGCCTGCTGCCGTATATTTGGAGTCTGCGTGTCTCTCTCTCATCATCATCACGGTGGCTAGGAGATGTTGACTCCCTCGCTTGGTATACAGGAGGCCGTGGGTTTGATCCCGACTCTGATGCCTGCTGCCGTATATTTGGAGTTTGCGTGTCTCTCTCTCTCTCATCATCACGGTGGCTAGGAGATGTTGACTCCCTCGCCTGGTATACAGGAGGCCGTGGGTTCGATCCCGACTCTGACGCCTGCTGCCGTATATTTGGAGTCTGCGTGTCTCTCTCTCTCATCATCACGGTCGCTAGGAGATGTTGACTCCCTCGCCTGGTATACAGGAGGCCGTGGGTTTGATCCCGACTCTGATGCCTGCTGCCGTATATTTGTAGTTTGCGTGTCTCTCTCTCTCATCATCACGGTGGCTAGGAGATGTTGACTCCCTCGCCTGGTATACAGGAGGCCGTGGGTTCGATCCCGACTCTGACGCCTGCTGCCGATATATTGGAGTCTGCGTGTCTCTCTCTCTCATCATCACGGTCGCTAGGAGATGTTGACTCCCTCGCCTGGTATACAGGAGGCCGTGGGTTCGATCCCGACCCGGATGCCTGCTGCCGTATATTTGTAGTTTGCGTGTCTCTCTCCCCGTGGTCGCGTGGATTTATCTTTGGCTCCTCCGGTTTTTCCCTCCACATTTAGAATCAACGTCCACAGCGTTTAGAGTATTGGGCTGCTACACATTTCCACGTGATGATGATGATGATAAGCCACTTTGTTGGGCTGTCGTTTGTGGCCAGGGTCGCTTCTGAAAAAAAGAGCTGCATTGCTCAGTGGGGCCTTACCTGGTAAAGTAAAAATAGCGGTAAAGAATCGTGTGTCTGGGCGTGGTGCTGGCCACGCGAACAGCACTTGCCCCAACAGTTTGTTAAGGCTAGATGGGGGATCTTTGTCGTCTTGCAACAGTCACCGGCACACCGTACTCACGGTTGCTCGCGGCTAACATTGGTGGCAATTATCAGAAATGATTTTTGGACCACCGCTAGCTCAAAACTGGGGCCTTAAACAACGGACACCCAATGTGGTGTGTACACACATCAGCACTGGGGAGACAAAGGCTGCCCGGGCACGAGCACCATCCACACCACCCGCTTGTGTGGTCACAGGCCCTTACCGCCGGCAAATTGTGAGTTGCCGCGCTCGCTGATGGCACTTGCCCCGACACAGCGGGGTGGTGGTGGTGGTGGGTGGTGGTGGTGGCGGATCCTTTACCTTTACCTTTGTCTCCTGAATGCACCTACCAGGGCCAGTGGGTGAACGGGGAGCGCCACGGCTATGGGCTGCGGCAGAGCGTGCCGTCCTGCATGGCGTCGGTGTACCGCGCGGCGCACCGCTCCTCCCTGCTCTCCATCCGTAGCAACCGGCGAGCAGAGCAACGGCACCGCCGAGCAACCCCAGCCCAACGGTGAACGCAGCGTCATTGGCGCCAACCGTCAGCCCGAACCACCACTATCACGCCTCACCGCCAACCATTGTCACCGCCATCGGCGCCACCGCCGTCACTGCCGCCGCCACCACCACCACGAACGCTGCCACCATCACCACCGCCACCGTTACCGCCACCATCGCCACGATCACCATCACTCTCGCCGCCAACCATTGTCACCACCATCGTCATCACCCGCCGCCATCATCACTGTTGCAACCATCGCCACCACCACTATCGCTGGCCACCACCACCGCCGCAGCCATCGCCATATCATCATCACCACCGCCACCATCATCATCACTCTCAAACCGTCATCATAAGCACCTCCACCTTCATCACTCTCACTGTCATCATCACCGCCACCACCATCATCATCACTCTCACCGTCATCATCAACCACCGCCCACCACCATCATCATCACTCTCACCGTCATCATCACCGCCACCACCATCCCCACTCTCACCGTCATCATAATCACCTCCACCATCATCACTCTCACCGTCATCATCACCGCCACCACCATCATCATCACTCTCACCGTCATCATAATCACCTCCACCATCATCACTCTCACCGTCATCATCACCGCCACCACCATCATCACCACTCTCACCGTCATCATCACCCGCCACCCACCATCATCATCACTCTCACCGTCATCATCACCCGCCACCACCATCATCACTCTCACCGTCATCATAATCACCTCCACCATCATCACTCTCACCGTCATCATCACCCCGCCACCACCATCATCACCACTCTCACCGTCATCATCACCGCCACCACCATCATCATCACTCTCACCGTCATCATCACCCGCCACCACCATCATCATCACTCTCACCGTCATCATCACCGCCACCACCATCATCATCACTCTCACCGTCATCATAATCACCTCCACCATCATCACTGTCACCGTCATCATCACCGCCACCACCATCATCACCACTCTCACCGTCATCATCACCGCCACCACCATCATCATCACTCTCACCGTCATCATCACCGCCACCACCATCACCACTCTCACCGTCATCATAATCAACCCTCCACCATCATCACTCTCACCGTCATCATCACCGCCACCACCATCATCACCACTCTCACCGTCATCATCACCGCCACCACCATCATCATCACTCTCACCGTCTCATCACCGCCACCACCATCATCATCACTCTCACCGTCATCATCACCGCCACCACCATCATCACTCTCACCGTCATCATAATCACCTCCACCATCATCACTTTCACCGTCATCATCACCGCCACCACCATCATCACCACTCTCACCGTCATCATCACCGCCACCACCATCATCATCACTCTCACCGTCATCATCACCGCCACCACCATCATCATCACTCTCACCGTCATCATCACCGCCACCACCATCATCATCACTCTCACCGTCATCATAATCACCTCCACCATCATCACTCTCACCGTCATCATCACCGCCCACCACCATCATCACCACTCTCACCGTCATCATCACCGCCACCACCATCATCATCACTCTCACCGTCATCATCACCCGCCACCACCATCACCACTCTCACCGTCATCATAATCACCTCCACCATCATCACTCTCACCGTCATCATCACCCGCCACCACCATCATCACCACTCTCAACCGTCATCATCACCGCCACCACCACCATCATCATCACTCTCACCGTCATCATCACCCGCCACCACCATCATCATCACTCTCACCGTCATCATCACCGCCACCGCCATCAGCACGCTCAATGTTATGATCACCGCCACTAAATCGACCTAGTGGGGGGGGGGGGGTGGTGGGGAGGGTTGAGGGAGGGGAACGGGAAGCCGACGATCGGTGCTGGTCCCGCGAACGGGAAAACATCGGGGACCCGTGTCCGCTTCACGTCGCGCTAACCGCTACATCGCCCCCCCCCCTCCGCCCTCCGCCCTCGCAGCCGCGCCTGGAGCCCCCGGCTTGCTGACGACGCGCGCCGGCTTCGCCCTCGCGGGCCTCGCCGCGGGCGCCAACGCCAAGCCCGAGAAGGCGGCCAAGAAGCGCGGCCTGTTCCGCAGCGGCTCGCTGCTCAGCGGGCTGAAGCTGCGCAAGTCGGACTCCAAGGCGTCGCTCTCGAGCCAGCTGAGCAAGCGCAGCTCCTTCCGCAGCGAGGCCGGCGACAGCCTCGCCGAGTCGGAGGTGAGGCCCCCCCCCCCTACCCCCTGCCCCCGCCCCCCCGCGGTGGGGCGGTGGGGTTGAGCTTGGGGGGAGGGAGGGGGGGGGCTGAAACGTTGTCGCTCGTTGAGGTTGCGCGCCGGGTGCTCGTAAATTCAGCGACTAATTATTTTACTTTTACTTACCAGGTAAAGGCCCGCTGAGCTGCACGACGGCTCAACGGAGCGGCTTGTCGTTGCCCTTTAACCTCGCTCTCGTCCACGCTCTCTCCACGCTCTCTCCACCAACCCCTCCCTCCACACACACACCCCCTCTCCGCCACAGATGAGCTTCGGCGACGTCGGCCGGGACTCGCCCATTGCCGGCACGACCGCGGCGACGGCGACCGGCGCCGGCGGCTCGTTGGCGGCGGCGGACGAGGAGGAGGCGGCGCGCCTGGACGACGCGTCGGCCACGGAGAGCTACGCAGGGGAGTGGCGCGGCGACCGCCGCTGCGGCTTCGGCGTGGCCGAGCGCTCCGACGGGCTGCGCTACGAGGGCGAGTGGCTGGACGACGAGCGCCACGGCTACGGGCGCACCACCGCGGCCGACGGGCGCACCGAGGAGGGAAAGTACAAGCATGGCGCCCTGCCCACGGGCGCCGGGGCCCGCCGGCGGGCGCTCATCCCGCTGCGCGCCGGCAAGGTGCGCGGCAAGGTGGAGCGAGCCGTCGAGGGCGCCAACCGGGCCGCCGCCATCGCGCGCCAGAAGGCCGACATCGCCGCGTCCAGGTGACGGTGGGCGGGGAGGGGGGGGGCCGTGGGGGTGCTGGGGGCGTGTGGTGGGTGGGGGGTGGCGGTTGTGGTGGGGCGGTTGCGGGCTTCGTCGTCATCATTGTTGTTGTTGTGCTTCGCTTGGTGATGACGAGATGTTAACTACCTCGCCTGGTACGCAGGAGGTCACGGGTTCCATTCCAACCCTGACGCCTGCTGCTGTATATTTGAAGTTTGCGTCTCTCTCTCTCATCATCATCACGGTGGCTAGGAGATGTTAACTCCCTCGCCTGGTCTACAGGAGGTTACGGGTTCCATCCCAACCCTGACGCCTGCTGCTGTATGTTTGAAGTTTGCGTCTCTCTCTTTCATCATCATCACGGTGGCTAGGAGATGTTTACTACCTCGCCTGGTATACAGGAGGTCGCGAGTTCCATCCCAACCCTGACGCCTGCTGCTGTATATTTGGAAGTTTGCGTGTCTCTCTCTCTCCCCGTTGTCGCGTGGATTTTTGTCCACTCCACATTTATAATAATCAACGTCACGCGTTTAGAATAATACGGCAGCTATACATTTCCACGTGGTAAGCCACTTTGTTGGGCTATCATTTGCGGCCAATGTTCTTCTCAAAAAGAGCTACATAGCTCAGTGGGTCTTACCTGGTAAAATAAAAATTGTTTAATTATGACGATGATGACGACGACGACGATGGGGATGATAATCGTCATCTCTGAATCGTCGTCGTTGCCGTCGTTACGACCGTCGTGATTCCCGAATTGTCAGCGTCGTCGTCATCATTCCTGAATCGTCATGATCGGCATCTTTCCTGAAGCATCGTCGCCACCTCGAAATCAGTAATTATTATGGTGGCGGTGGTGGCAGTGATAGCGGTGATGCTGGCGATGATTTTGATCACCGCCATCATTGTTAATACCACCAACACCACCACCATGATCATCGCCATCATTGTTATTACCACCAACACCACCACCATGATCATCGCCATCATTGTTATTACCACCAACACCACCACCACCATGATCATCGCCATCATTGTTAATACCACCAACACCACCACCATGATCATCGCCATCATTGTTAATACCACCAACACCACCACCATGATCATCGCCATCATTGTTATTACCACCAACACCACCACCATGATCATCGCCATCATTGTTAATACCACCAACACCACCACCATGATCATCGCCATCATTGTTAATACCATCAACACCACCACCATGATCATCGCCATCATTGTTATTACCACCAACACCACCACCATGATCATCGCCATCATTGTTATTACCACCAACACCACCACCATGATCATCGCCATCATTGTTAATACCACCAACACCACCACCATGATCATCGCCATCATTGTTATTACCACCAACACCACCACCATGATCATCGCCATCATTGTTAATGCCACCAACACCACCACCATGATCATCGCCATCATTGTTAATACCACCAACACCACCACCATGATCATCGCCATCATTGTTAATACCATCAACACCACCACCATGATCATCGCCATCATTGTTAATACCATCAACACCACCACCATGATCATCGCCATCATTGTTAATACCACCAACACCACCACCATGATCATCGCCATCATTGTTATTACCACCAACACCACCACCATGATCATCGCCATCATTGTTATTACCACCAATACCACCACCATGATCATCGCCATCATTGTTATTACCACCAACACCACAACCATGATCATCGCCATCATTGTTAATACCACCAACACCACCACCATGATCATCGCCATCATTGTTAATACCACCAACACCACCACCATGATCATCGCCATCATTGTTAATACCACCAACACCACCACCATGATCATCGCCATCATTGTTATTACCACCAACACCACCACCATGATCATCGCCATCATTGTTAATACCACCAACGCCACCACCATGATCATCGCCATCATTGTTAATACCACCAACACCACCACCATGATCATCGCCATCATTGTTAATACCACTAACACCACCACCATGATCATCGCCATCATTGTTAATACCATCAACACCACCACCATGATCATCGCCATCATTGTTATTACCACCAACACCACCACCATGATCATCCCCATCATTGTTATTACCACCACCACCACCATGATCATCGTAAGTCTGGTCTGGTCGGTGTGCCTGTCGCGTTTCCCCCGGTGTCTCTTCCCGACCCAGCAGGAGTGTGGGCTGGCGGGGAAGGTGTTGATCCTCCCAGCGCGCGTTTCAGGGTCCACAAATAATCGCTGGGGACAGCGGAACTCCCCCCCCAGCCCCCCACCAGCCCCCCATCCCCCCCAGCCCCCCACCTCCCTCCCACCGTGGGGGGTTGGGGGGGAAGGCATCGTCGGGGAATTCCGTGACCATGGCCCCACTCCGTGCAGGGTTTTGTTGGCGGCGTTTTGTCGGTCGGTTCGTCCGTGCCATCACGCTCGGCCCTCCCTCCCCCCAAGCCTTCCTCCCTCCCTCCCTCCTGCCCTCCCGCCCTTTGTCCGTCCATCTCTTAATTTCCCTTCCCGCCTGTCCGTCTGATTTATCGGTACATTCACCCGTTCGTCTATTAGTCCAAGTGTCTGTCCGTCCGTCCATCGGTTAATTTCTTTATCCCGCTGTCTCTGTCAACACAACCATCTATCCATCCGCATGACCCTCCGTCTGGCCGTCCATCTGTTAATGCATCTATCTGTCCCCCTGTTCATGAGTTTATACATCCATCTATACATACATACGTATTGTCCCTCCATATCTACACCCACCCAAACCCACGCACTTCACCCACCCACCCCACCCACCCCTACTCATCTCACACAACCCACCCACACCCACCCACGCACCCAAACTCACGCACCCAAACCCACCCAAACCCACCCCACCCACTCTAACCCACCCACCCAAACCCACCTCACCCAACCCACCCACATCCACCCACGCACCCAAACCCACGCACCCAAACCCACGCACCCCCCCCAAACCACCCCACCCCACCCAACCCACCCACATCCACCCACGCACCCAAACCCACACACCCAAACCCACGCATCCCAACCCACCCTAACCCACCCCCCCCAACCCACCCCACCCAACCCGCCCACATCCACCCACGCACCCAAACCCACACACCCACCCAAACCCACCCCACCCACCCGCTTATGAACTTGCGACAAACACACTGCATCTGTTGTGCTCATTTTTGGGGCGGTGCCCGGGGGAGAATTGTCCCCTTTGGCCCCCACCCCCCGCCCCCACCCCTCACCCCCCGCCTCCCTCGGGGCTGCCCCTGGGCACCTGCCCACCGGCTGCCCACCGGCTGTGGTGCTGCGACACGGCGGGGGACCCCGAGCAGAGCGCACGGAGGGTTGGCCCGGCTCGGAATCCCGGAATCCCGGCTGGGGGTGGCTGGGACAGCGGCCACAGCTGAGCCAGCCCCAGCGCCCACCCCGTTCCCCCCACGTGTCCTCAACTCACATTGGAGTGTGTGTGGGGGTGGTGGTGGTGTAGTGTGGGTGTGAGTAGTGTGTGTGGTGTAGTGGTGTAGTGTGAGTGGTGGGGGTGGTGTAATGGTGTAGTGTGTGTTTGAGTAGTGTGTGTGGTGTAGTGGTGTAGTGTGAGTGTGAGTAGTGTGTGTGGTGTAGTGGTGTAGTGTGAATGGTGGGGGTGGTGTAGTGGTGTAGTGTGTGTGTGAGTAGTGTGTGTGGTGTAGTGTGTGTGGTGTAGTGGCGGTGTTAAGCGATGAATTCACCGTAGCCGTTGACACCGATCTCAGCGTGATCACGAAGTTACAGCCGCATTAACCAGATAGCAATAGGGGTGGAGTGGTGGCGCAGTGGTTAGCACACCGCAACGCGAACCTGGCGAGCCGAGTTCGGCTCCCGGCCCGACGCGGCTCTGCGTGTGTCGCTCCAGGACTAGCGCTCACCCCTAACGCGCTCCACGTGTTCATTGCGTGTTGGTCGCGTGTTGGTCCTGTGTCGGTCGCGTGTCGGTCACGTGTCGGTCGCGTATTCGTCACGTGTCGGTCGCGTGTTGGTCGCATGTCGGTCGCGTGTTGGTCGCGTGTCGGTCGCATGTCGGTCGCGTGTTCGTCACGTGTCGGTCGCGTGTCGGTCGCGTGTCCGTCGCGTGTTGGTCGCGTGTTGGTCGCATGTCGGTCGCGTGTTGGTCGCGTGTCGGTCGCATGTCGGTCGCGTGTTCGTCACGTGTCGGTCGCGTGTTGGTCGCATGTCGGTCGCGTGTTGGTCGCGTGTCAGTCGCATGTCGGTCGCGTGTTCGTCACGTGTCGGTCGCGTGTCGGTCGCGTGTTCGTCGCGTGTGTTCGTCACGTGTCGGTGGGGCGTTGGTGGCGTGTGCAGGGCTGGGCACGCGCGGAGCAAGGCGGAAGCCGCCGACACGGCGGGCGAGGTGGCGCAGGAGGAGGGGCGGACGGCGCGCGGCATCGCCAAGGAGCTCTCGCCGTCCTTCCACCAGCCCGGTGCGCGGTGACAAAGACAAAGGTCCCCCCCCCCTCCACACCGTAGCCTCTAACAGACCGTTGGGGCAAGTGCTGCTGCGAGCGAGCGGCGCCCACGAAGGTCCGGGGAACGGGCGCATGAGGAGCGCGGTGCGGCCAACGCCACCACCACCGCCACCACCGCCGCCACCGCCACCACCGCCGCCACCGCCACCACCGCCACCAACACCACCAATACCACCAACACCGCCACCACCAACACCACCATCACCGCCACCAACACCACCAAATCCGCCACCACCAACACCGCCAACAACACCGCCACTAACACCACCAACACCAACGCCACCAACACCACCGCCACCACCGCCACCGCCACCACCAACACCACCATCACCGCCACCAACACCACCAAATCCGCCACCACCAAAACCGCCGCCACCACCACCAGCACCGCCAACATCGCCACCAACACCACCAACACCACCAACGCCACTAACACCACCATCACCACCGCCACCAACACCACCAAAACCGCCCCCACCAACACCACCAACAACACCATCACCACCGCCACCAACACCACCGTCACCACCGCCACCAACACCACCAAAACCGCCGCCACCCCCACCAACACCACCAACAACACCAACACCACCAACACCGCCCCCGCCCGCCCCCCCAGTGCACCCAGGTAGGTACTCGTTTGTTTAAGGCCGAGTCGCCCTAGTTTAGGGGACCGGTTCGGATAATCGTCACTGGTGTTGGCCGAGAGGCAAAGACAAAGATCCCCCGCGTAGCCTTAACAGACCGTTGGGGCAAGTGCTGTTAGCGAGCAGCAGCGCCCACGAAGGCCGATAGACGCACACGCACACACGCACGCACACACACACGCACGCACACACGCACCCACACACGCACACACGCACCCACACACGCACACACACGCACACACGCACCCACACACGCACACACGCACCCACACGCACACACGCACCCACACACGCACACACGCACCCACACGCACACACGCACCCACACACGCACACACGCACCCACACACGCACACACGCACCCACACACGCACGCACACACGCACCCACACACGCACCCACACACGCACCCACATATGCACGCACGCACCCACGCACACACGCACCCACGCACGCACGCACGCACACGTGTGTGCCCCGCGTGTTAATGCTGCCTTAGCGAGGATTACGAACATTAATTCCGCGTCGCGTCTCCCATCATCCAATATCTCCGAGGTCGTAATCGTCGGCGGTGGGGGCCGGTGGTGCGGTGGCGCGTTACGTAATCACTAACTGGAATAATTAAGTCGATAATGGGGTGGGGGGGGGGGGCGAGGGTTTGGAGGGGGGTATGAAAAGTGTCGCAACGGAGCGTGGAGAGAGCGGCCGCCGGCGATGTCCTATCGGCCGTCGAGAGGAGAGCCGAGTTGCTTTAAAAAACTTTAATTTTTTGACTTAAAACTTTCGTGACTGCAGGAATTTCATATTCTGTGGTTCTTTCATTAAAGTCACGTAGATAGAAAAAATTATAACAATAAAGTTAATAAAAAATATCACGACGTTTCGATCGCAACACAAGCGGTCCGTCATTATTATTTAATTGTTATTATATTTTCTATCTACGTGACTTTACCGAAAAGAACCATAGAATATTTTACCTTTTATTTTTTATTTTACCAGGTAAGGCCCCCCCCCCCTCGCTCTTTAATCCCAGAGGCGATCGCAAACGATGGCTCGGCGAATTGGCGACTCGCCTCCGTCTTTGTCATCATCGTCGTGTGGAAATGTATCGGCAGTGGACAAATGCTCTGACAACAAAGATAAAGATCCCCCATCTAGCCTTAACAGACTGTTGAGGCAAGTGCTGTGAGCGTGACCAGCACCACGCCCAGACACACGATTCTTTACCGCTATTTTTACTTGAGCAGATAAGGCCCCACCGAGGTATGCGACCTGGCCACAAACGATAGCCCATCATCACGTGGACATTTACAGCAGCCGAATACTCTAAACGCACGTCGTTGACTCTAAATGTGGAGGGAAAAACCGGAGGTCCCGGAGAAAAATCCACGCGACCACGGGGAGAGACAGAGAGACACGCAAACTCCAAATATACAGCAGCAGGCGTCAGCGTTGGGATCGAACCCACGACCTCCTGTACACCAGGCGAGGTAGTTAACATCTCCTAGCCACCGTGATGATGATGATGAGAGAGAGACACGCAAACTCCAAATATACAGCAGCAGGCGTCAGGGTCGGGATCGAACCCACAACCTCTTGTACACCAGGCGAGGTAGTTAACATCTCCTAGCAACCGTGATGATGATGAGAGAGAGACACGCAAACTCCAAATATACAGCAGCAGGCGTCAGCGTTGGGATCGAACCCACGACTTCCTGTATACCAGGCGAGGTAGTTAACATCTCCTAGCCACCGTGATGATGATGATGAGAGAGAGACACGCAAACTCCAAATATACAGCAGCAGGCGTCAGCGTTGGGATCGAACCCACGACCTCCTGTATACCAGGCGAGGTCGTTAACATCTCCTAGCCACCGTGATGAGGATGAGAGAGAGACACGCAAACTCCAAATATACAGCAGCAGGCGTCAGCGTTGGGATCGAACCCACGACCTCCTGTATACCAGGCGAGGTAGTTAACATCTCCTAGCCACCGTGTTACCCACGGTGGCTTGGGTAAGCGGACGCGTCGTGGCTGAGAAGGGATGTTGACCAGCGGATGAGACTCGGTGCTGGAACGGCAGCCAAAGGACGGAGCCGTGAGCCCGGGGAGATGCAGCGACGCGGATCGCCGCGCGCGCGGGGGGGGGGGGGGAGGCCTTCATCCAGCTGTAGATAGACCTTGGCCGCTGACGATGATGCTGCCGATGACGACGATTCTGCGCTGTCGTTTTCGCGCGCTCAGCACGGGATGAGCGAAGTCCTCCGTGCGGAACGCTCCCAGGGGGACGGTGCATCGCCCCCCCGCGTCATAGAGAACGAACGGCCCACGGAAGTGGATTTCACAGAACATCATCTGAGATATCGTAGTAGTAGGTTTTTACTCTTTAAACTGGTACAAAACTGACACCTTTATACAAGGCATAATGTTTGCAATAACCACAACACAAGTAGTCAAAATGCAAACAAAAAGAAACAACTCTGATGATGATAATGATATGCACTGTCCTTGAAGTTGATTGGTCCACACCCGAGACGGCTTTCTTTAGAGCCTAGTCTCCATTGGTGTTGGACCAGATGACACCAAAAGGCGTACAACTTAACTTCAAGGACAGTGCATATCATCATCAGAGTTGTTTCTTTTTGTTTGCATTTTGACTACTTGTGTTGTGGTTATTGCAAACATGATGCCTTGTATAAAGGTGTCAGTTTTGTACCAGTTTAAAGGGTAAAAACCTACTACTATATTTTGCCATTGGTAAAGGAGATGTCTCATAGTGTAAATCTGAGATATCTTCCCGGCGGGGCGGGGTGGGGGCGTGGTTCGGGGGCACGCGAGGCACTTTCCCACGCGGCGTGAGGAACGTCCGTCGCGCCGCGGCGAAAGCTGAACTTAATTATTTATTTGCTCGCTAAACTTTTTGGAATGTTTTTTCGCCGAATTAGGGCGCAAAGTCAAATTTAGCGGAGTGAGGTCTTGAATCCTTTATATTAAGTTCACTTGCTTGCTTGCTTGCGTGCTTGCTTGCTTGCTTACGACCGTGCAAATCTCTCGGTCGTTTTTTAACCCACTTCCCGTGATCCAATCGAGCTGACATTTTGCACACAGACTCGTTGTGCGAGACAATTAATGTTCGTGAAAATTTTTTTCCTAAATGTTACACTGTTAAGGGAAAACAAATTAAATATTTAATTACCAATTGCTTAATACTGGCAGACAATCATCTGACCCATAGGTGGCAGCCATCTCAAGCCAGAGGAAGAGAGGACTCTAGCCGCCACGCATATAAAGGATTTAGAGTGAAAAACTTTGTTTTTACGGGTTATACTTATTCCCCGTGCAGTCGTCAGAGCGCCGGGTTAAGAGCGTCAACTCCGACTGGACACCTGTGAAAAAAAGCTTCACAGCTCATCGGCTTTGTGCTGCCCAGTGAGAGATTTGTTAATTCCGATTCTGAACTCGCCACGCTTGAGTTGGGAGCCAGGATCCCGGCGGTGTTGGCTCGGAGCCGCCCGACAAAACCTTGAATCGAAACGTCAACCACATACACCACATACACCACACACACCACATACACCACACACACCACATACACCACACACACACCCACACACACCACATACACCACACACACCACATACACCACACATACCACACACACCACATACACCACACACACACCCACACACACCACATACACCACACACACCACATACACCACACATACCACACACACCACATACACCACACACACCACATACACCACACACACCACATACACCACACACACCCACATACACCACACACACACCACACACACACACCACACACACCACATACACCACACACACACCACACACACACACCACACACACCACATACACCACACACACCACATACACCACACACACCACATACACCACACACACCCACATACACCACACACACACCACACACACACACCACATACACCACACACACCACACACACCACATACACCACACACACCACACACACCACATACACCACACGCACCACACACACCACACGCACCACACACACCACATGCACCAGACAGCACACACACCACATACACCACACACACCACACGCACCACACACACCACACGCACCACACATACCACACGCACCACACACACCACACGCACCACACACACCACACACACCACACACACCACACACACCACACACACCACACACACCACACACACCACACACACCAAACACACCACACACACCAAACACACCACACACACCACACACACCACACACACCACACACACCACACACACCACACACACCACATACATCACACACACCACACACACCGTCACAATCTACACCACACACACCACACACACCATGCACCAAACACCCCATGCACTACACACACCGCACACACTGCCACAATCCACCCGTCACACACACGATGATATCCACACATCAAACACATCGCCATCGCACTCTTCACTTCACACGCACAACATGACATTTTCACATCACAAAGACAAAGATCCACTGTGTAGCCTTCACATACTTTTGGGGCAAGTCCTGTTAGCGAGCAGCACCTATGAAGGCCGGCACGGCACTCTACGGGGTGGGTGATCAGTACCACACCCGACCGCTTTTGTCTCCCTAGTGGTAATGTAATTTTACACACCGCACCAGGTACTCATTTGAAGCCGAGTCGACCTAGGGGAGGCCCAGGACCGGTTCAGATAATCGCCACCGGTGTTGGTTGTCGTGAGCGGGAATCGAACCCAGGTCGCCCGGTTCGTAGCGCCGCGTGCTAACCGCTACCACTCCCGCTCCCCACATCGCCCACACACTCATACACACACTGACACACACACACTCACACACGCGTGCCGTGACATCCACGCATCACGGCTGACTGGAACGCCATGGCCTGGCCCCTCCCGGTTACTCGGTGGTGGTGGTGGCGGCTGCGGTGGCGGCTGCGGTGGCGGCTGCGGTGGCGGCTTCGTTTGGCGTTGGGGGGAGAGCGTGCCGCGGGAATGCGTGCCGTTCTATTAATACCCGCGGCCCATATCGGAGAGAGGCGAGTGTTCCACCTCCTCCTCCCCGGTGATTGAACACCGAGCGGCACCTGTTCCGCAGAGATGGGCGAAGGATCGGCGCGGCTCCAAACTCAACGCGCGCATGTGTGTGGCGGTGTGCACGCGTGTGCGTGGCGGTGTGCACGCGTGTGCATGGCGGTGTGCACGCGTGTGCGTGGCGGTGTGCACGCGTGTGCGTTGAACTTCGTTCGCACCGTAACGTAGCCAACCGTGCTGAATCGCAGTTGTCAAGAAATGTGTTTTCAATCTGGATCTAGAAGTACATAGATACCCGTACACTCTATACGTAGATACCCAGAGACTCTATACATGGAGACCCATAGGTTCTATACATGCAGACCCATGGACTCTACACATTGAGACCAATAGACTCTATACGTACAGACCCATGGACTCTACACATAGATACCAATAGACTCTATACGTACAGACCCATGGACTCTACACATAGATACCAATAGACTCTATACGTACAGACCCATGGACTCTACACATTGAGACCAATAGACTCTATACGTACAGACCCATGGACTCTACACATAGATACCAATAGACTCTATACGTACAGACCCATGGACTCTACACATAGATACCAATAGACTCTATACGTACAGACCCATAGACTCTACACATAGATACCAATAGACTCTATACGTACAGACCCATAGACTCTACACATAGATACCAATAGACTCTATACGTACAGACCCATAGACTCTACACATAGATACCAATAGACTCTATACGTACAGACCCATAGACTCTACACATAGATACCAATAGACTCTATACGTACAGACCCATAGACTCTACACATAGATACCAATAGACTCTATACGTACAGACCCATGGACTCTACACATTGAGACCCGTAGACTCTATACGTACAGACCCATGGACTCTACACATAGATACCAATAGACTCTATACATACAGACACATGGACTCTACACATTGAGACCCGTAGATTCACATCGAGAATAAAGTGTTCGATTGGGATGTCACTCGCGCACACACCCAGCGGTAACATCGCCCGCTCCTGCGAAAACCCTGGCAGCATCCTCCTTTCAAAGACCAACCCTCTAGACTCGGCGAGGCTCGCGTGGGTAAACAAGCGGAACAACAACAACAACAACCCCCGTCTCCCCGTCACCCCACCCCCCAGGCCTCGAGTACCAGCGGCAGAAGTCGGCGCGCGAGGCCGCAGGCGAGGAGCACAAGTACCGCGGCTCCGATGAGCCCATCGACCGCTACAGCCCCGAGCTCTACCACGGCGGCGGCGACGGTGGCGGCGGGGGCGGCACGGCCCGCTCCACCCCGCGCTCCTCCAGCCCTCCACCGAGCCCCGGCGGTGGCGGCGGCGGCGGTGGCGGCGGCGGCGGGCTGCAGCTCCGCGGGGGGAACCCGGCGCCGTTCGTCACGCAGTCGAGCCCCGAGCTGCGGCACTGCGGCGCCGCGGCCGTGCCGCCGGCAGCGGTGACGGCAGGCGCCGCGGGCGACGGCCAACGCGGCCGTGGAGCGGCGAGGAACAACGGGGAGACGGGAGTCGGCGCCGATCGGGCGGACCGCCGCGGCGCCGCGGATGCGCCGGCGGACGAGCGGAAGCGGCGCGCCGGCGGTGACATCGGCGTAGAGGTCACGCCGCCGCCGCCGGGCGACGGCGTGACCTCTACAGCGGCGGGGGTCGCGACCCCTAACCCGGCGAGCGGGAGCCGCCACTCGAGCAGCTACGAGCTGCAGATGCGGCCGCTGGAGCCGGTGGCGGGGGGGGCGGCGGCGGCGGCCACGGGGGCGACCGCGGCGCGGAGGACCGAGAGGGACGGGAACTATCCAGCAGCGGAGGAGGAGGAGGAGGAAGGTGGCGAGCAGCCGCAGAGGCAGTATCAGCAGCAGGAGCAGCAGCAGCACGAGTCGGCGGACTACATCTCGTACTACCACGACTACCCGGTGAACACGCGCGTGTCCATCATCAGCGACGGCGCCTTCGACTTCGTGCCCGCGACGCCGACGCTGTCGCCGGCCGAGAAGGCGTTCTTCGATCGCGGCGACGTGCCGAAGGAGGAGGAGGAGGAGGAGGAGAGGGAGGAGGAGGACGAGGAGGTGGAGCTGCTGCTGCTGCGGCAGACGGAGGACGCGACGGTGGCAGCGGAGGTTCAGACGAGGGAGAAGAAGAAGAAGAAGAAAGAGGTGGAGGAGGAGGAGGAGCGTGACACTGAAGCCGGTTTTGACGACGGACGAGTGCCCGGAGGAAAGAAGCGCGTGGCGTCAGGAGAGCATGGGGCGGAGGCGGAGGAGGAGGCGGAGGAGGAGGATTGGGAAGTCCTGGAAGAGGAGGAGGGGGAGGAGGAAGGAGAGGAAGAGAAGGAGGACGTCGGGCGACTGAAACGGGAGCGCCGGGGGCAGACGAGTGGCGACGGAGGGGACGCGGCGGGGGGCATCACATCGGAGCGGGAGTTTGACGATGAGCCGCAGTTCCGGTTCACGTTCCCGGAACCGGCACGTCCGGCCCATTCGGGGCCTTCGCGGCGCAGAGCCGAGGAGTCCCCCGAGGCGTCGCGCCGGCCGCCCGCTCGGCAAGACCCGGAGCCGGAGTCGCCGCCGGCACGATCGCGGGAATCGAAACCGCGGCCGGAGTCGCCGGCGGCGAGGCCCCGCGGGGCGTCGCCGCGTGACCACGCCGCGGAGGAGGAGAAGGAGGAGGAGGAGGAGACGGAGCGGGAGGAGGCCAAGGAGGGGCCCCAGCGGAGGAAGAGGCCGCCGGTGTCCAAGGCGGCGAAACCGAAAGTGGAGGTCATCGAGGAGGTCATCCGCGTGCGAGACAGAACACCGGTGAGTGGCGGTGGCGGTGGTGGTGGTGGTGGCGGTGGCGGTGGCGGTGGCGGCGGTGGCGGCGGTGGTGGCGGTGGTGGTGGTGGTAGTGATGGTGGCGGTGGTGGCTGTGGTGGTCGTGGAAAAGTAACGGAGAAACGGGAGCACAGAGCAAGAAGAGAGAGAGAGAGGGAGAAGGCTGCTGTGTCAGGGCCTCCACGCTGCTGCTGCTGCTGCACGGAGGAGCAGCGTCTGTTTTCACAGTGGGCGGGAAGAAGGGTTCGGAGTGGGGGGTGGCCACAACAGAAGCCACGTGATGTACAGGAGCCTTGAGCTGGTTTAGACAGACACAGTTCTATAGATGAGAGGGGGGAGGCATTCAGAGTGAGGGCGGCCACAGCAGAAAGTGGCGTGCGACTCGCGGGAGACTTGAGCTCATTTTGAGAGAGGGATGACGACGACAAAAGGTCAAAGGTCAGTGTCCCAAAAAAATACATCAGCCCCCCCCCCCCATCACCTAAACTCTCTCTTGCCAAGCGCTTACGACAACAGCCTTTCTCGATTCAAGAGACGCATCCGTGACGACTTCGACAACAGTGCTGTCCGTTGGCGGCCGGGCGCGTGTGTGTCCATCGACTTGCAATCGTGGCGAAGGAGGTTTGGGTGGGGGGTGGCGGTGGGGGGGGTCACGGGGCGGGTCGCGGCGCAACGCCCACGGCGCGACCTGCCGCCGATCCGACCACCGCTAAAGATGTGGAGAGAGGTGGAGAGAGCGAGAGGGGAGGATATTAATATTAATGTTTGTAAAAAAAAAAATTATCGCTGAAGCCAGCAGGGTTTTACGTGTCGGCGGTCGCGCCGCCGCCGCCGCCGACTCGGCGCTTTTCGTCTGGCACCGGCGTGCGCCAGTCGGTAAACGGGCACCCCGGCCACACCGCGACGGTGCCGTGAATCCCCAACGGTCCGTGGCACCGCGAGCTTTGCCGCACGGGGGACTCGCCACGTTCGATTCGATCGCCCGGCGTGGCAGTTGGAACGAGGGGCACCGCCTGCTGCTAACACTGCCGCCACTACCAAAAAAACAAAGACAAATAGCCCCCCCCCCCCCCGTGTAGCCTTAACAGACTGTTGGGGCAAGTGCTGTTAGCGAGCAGCACCTATGAAGGCCGGTACGGCACACGATGGGGTGGGTGGCCATCACTCCGCCTGGCTGCTTTTGTCTCCCCAGTGGCGATGTTTACGCACCGCACCGCACCGGGTTCTCATTTGATGCTGAGTAGACCTAGGGGAAGGCCCAGGACCGGTTCGGATAATCGTTGCCGGTGCTACCACCACCACCACCGCCGCCACCCCCGCCAAACACCAAGGTCCCCCGTGGTGTCATTATGACCCGTTCACGGCTTCGATTTCCAGAGGGCCACCCTGGTTAATACCGCGGTGGTGCGGTATTAGCTGTCGTCAATAATAATGATGATGATCACACCGCCGCGGCGAACGTTCCATAATCCCGTGACGTCGTTCGGCAAACTGTAGGCCACCGCGTGCCGTCGGCTTCGACGGTCCAAGTTTGCCGGATTTGGAAGATTTACGCCGAGAATCACTCGGTTGGGGGAATCTCACGCTCAAGCACGCGGCAACACTCGCCGCCCGCCAGCAGTTGATAGATCATGGCTGACGACGACGACGAGGAAAGTAGCAAGAGACGATGGGAGGGAATTTCCCCGCCATCGTCTTTTCCCGGACCCAAAGCGTTCCCCAGCCTCGCTCGGTCCAAGGTATCGGTCACCCTAAATATTTGTTGAAAACACCCGCGTTTGGTCACGTGTGTGAGTGCACTTGAATTGAGCGTATACGCAGACTGTTGGGGCAAGTGCCGTTAGCGAGCAGCACCTGTGAAGGCCGGCACGGCGCACCAGGGGGTAAGGGTGGCCAGCACCACGCCCGGCCGCCTTTGTCTCCCCACTGCTGTTGTTCGCACACTGCGCCACATGCGCACGCACACGCGTGTACTCACACACGCGCACGCCTGCAACCGTGTAACCCGGGTCGCCCTTGCAAAAGAGGCCATGTTGCTGCGTATCCCTCCACGGGGTGGCGTCATCTCCTGGTTAAATAAAGAAGACGGACTGCCTGACATACACAAAGATCCCCCGCATAGCCTCAACAGACTTTTGGGGAAAGTGCGGTTAGCGAGCAGCACCGATGAAGGCCGGCACTGTGGCACACACGAGGGTCGTGGGTGGACAACACCACGCCCGGTCGCCTTTGTCTCCCCAGTCGCGACGTTTACACACCGCACCAGGTACTCATTTGAGGCTGAGTCGACCCAGGGGAGGCCCAGAACCTGTTCAGATAATCGTCACCGGTGTTGGTGGCCGTGAGCGGGAATCGAACTCGGGCCGCCGAGTTCGTAGCGGAGAGCGCTAACTGTTGCGCCGCCGTTCCCCACAAACCATGTACACAAAGACAAAGATCCCCCCCCATATAGCCTTGACAGCCCCTTGGGGTAAGTGCAGTTAGCGAGCACCTATTTGCACGCACGCACACGCTCGCTCACGCTCGTCCACTGCTCTCGGCAGTCGTTTTATTTTGGTCGCGAGTGCTTACGCGTGCACAAGATCTCGGAGCGCCACTTTAAATGTGGAGGTCAAATTTCCGCTTATTTATGGATCCTTGCGAATGTGGGACAACTGCCGCTTGCGGTGGCGGCGGGCGAGGGAGGAGGAGCGAGAGAGAGATGTGTGGGGGGGGGGGGGGGCGGAGAGAGAGAGCGAGAGAGAGTAGATAGGTGGCGAGAAGGGGGAAAAAAACGACGAAACGAGTGAAAAATACTCAAGGTCAGGAGGTCACCGGGAGATCGCCGAGAGTTTAAAGCCGTCGTCAACGAAGAAATCCGCAGGGTCAGGAGGTCGACGAGAGGTCAAAGCCGTGGCCAGCGGAAAAATACGCAGGGTCAAGAGGTCGACGAGAGGTCAAAGGCCATCGCCAGCGGAAAAATACGCAGGGTCAGGAGGTCGACGAGAGGTCAAAGGCCGTGGCCAGCGGATAAATACGCAGGGTCAAGAGGTCGACGAGAGGTCAAAGGCCGTCGCCAGCGGAAAAATACACAGGGTCAGGAGGTCGACGAGAGGTCAAAGGCCGTCGCCAGTGGAAAAATCCGCAGGGTCAGGAGGTCGACGCAGGTCAAAGGCCGTCGCCGGAAATTCCCACAACGCAAAAAATGGCGTCACGAGCCATGGCGCCGTTGCGCTTCTTCACGGACGGGCGCAGTCGGCGGTGGTTGCAGAGCAAGAAGGGGGGGGGGGGGTTGCGATGTTGCCGCCGTTGCCAAACGTCCGCAGTGAGGGGGGTGGTGGGGGGGTGCCGGTGCTGATGTGGTTTTTTTTGTTGCCAAATTCGGTCATTTTGCGGTGATTTTGTTTTTTCAAATCCGGACCGTGACGCCCGGCACACGAGCTCGTAGCAAGGCTGCTTTTCAGATCTTTCACGTCCACTGCAAGTCAGGCGGTGCACGGTGTTTACAGTTCAATCGCCCCGCAGTATGAACTAAAAAAAACTATTCTTATTTTAACCGGGGAAGGCCCACTCAGCTACAGAGCTCTTTTTCAGAAGAGGCCCTGCCGCAAATGATAGCCCAACGAGAAGCGGCTTATCAACATCACGTGGAAATTTATAGAAGCCAGATCCTCTAAATGTTACCACGGGGTGAAAGAGACATGCAAACTGCAAATATACAGCAGGCGCCAGGGTCGGATCAAACCCACGACCTCCTGTATACCTCCAAGGTCCGGTTTTACTATCTCATCGCCAGTGAATCTGTGGGTGAGTGGGCGACTGAGTAGAATCGGTAGGTGAATGGATGGGTGAGTAAATGAGTGGGTTAGTGAGTCGGTGGGTGGGTGGGTAGGTGAGTAACTATTTAAGTGTGTAAGTAGATAAGTGAGTAGGTGTGTGTGTATGTGAGTAGATAAGTCAGTAGGTGTGTGTGTGTGAGTGGATGAGTCGGCGGGGGAGTGAGTGGGTTCGTAAGTGAAGATGTAGGTGTGAGTCGGTAGGTTAGTGAGGTGAGTAATTTGCTTAGTGGGTGACTATGCAGTTTGGTAGTTGCATGAAAGGGTGAGAGAGTAGGTGAGTGTAGTGGTTGGCGCGCTGCGCTACGAACCCGGCGACCCGAGTTCGATTCCCGCTCGCGGCCAACACCAGTGATAGCGATTATCTGAACCGGTCCTGGGCCTCCCTTAGGTCCAGTATCTGGTGCGGAGTGTAAACGTCGCTACTGGGGAGACAAAGGCGGCCGGGTGTGGTGGTGTCCAATCACACCCCTCGTGTGCCATGCCGGCCTTGATAGGTGCTCACTAACAGCACTTGCCCCAACAGTCTGTTCAGGCGAGTGAAGAGGTGGTTGTGCGAACGAGTGGGTGGGTGAGTGTGTGAATAGCGAGTGGGTGGGTGGGTGGGCGAGTGTGTGAATAGCGAGTGGGTGGGCGAGTGTATGAATAGCGAGTGGGTGGGTGGGTGGGCGAGTGTGTGAATAGCGAGTGGGTGGGCGAGTGTATGAATAGCGAGTGGGTGGGTGGGTGGGCGAGTGTGTGAATAGCGAGTGGGTGGGCGAGTGTATGAATAGCGAGTGGGTGGGTGGGTGGGCGAGTGTGTGAATAGCGAGTGGGTGGGCGAGTGTGTGAATAGCGAGTGGGTGGGTGAGTGTGTGAATAGCGAGTGTGTGAATAGCGAGTGGGTGGGCGAGTGTGTTAATAGCAGGTGGGTGGGTTAGCGAGTGGGTGGGTGGGTTAGCGAGTGGGTGGGCGTGTGTGTGAATAGTGAGTGGGTGGGTGGGTGAGTGTTTGAATAGCGGGTGGGTGGGTTAGTGAGTGGGTGGGCGAGTGTGTGAATAGCGGGTGGCTGGGTGGGTTAACGAGTGGGTGGGTGAGTGTGTGAATCGCGAGTGGGTGAGTAGGTTAACGAGTGGGTGGGCGAGTGTGTGAATAGCGAGTGGGTGGGCGAGTGGGTGGGTGGGTTAGCGAGTGGGTGGGTGAGTGTGTGAATAGCGAGTGGGTGGGTGGGTTAGTGAGTGGGTGGGCGAGTGTATGAATAGCGAGTGGGTGGGTGGGTGGGCGAGTGTGTGAATAGCGAGTGGGTGGGCGAGTGTGTGAATAGCGAGTGGGTGGGTGAGTGTGTGAATAGCGAGTGGGTGGGCGAGTGTGTGAATAGCGAGTGGGTGGGCGAGTGTGTGAATAGCGAGTGGGTGGGTGAGTGTGTGAATAGCGAGTGTGTGAATAGCGAGTGGGTGGGCGAGTGTGTTAATAGCAGGTGGGTGGGTTAGCGAGTGGGTGGGTGGGTTAGCGAGTGGGTGGGCGTGTGTGTGAATAGTGAGTGGGTGGGTGGGTGAGTGTTTGAATAGCGGGTGGGTGGGTTAGTGAGTGGGTGGGCGAGTGTGTGAATAGCGGGTGGCTGGGTGGGTTAACGAGTGGGTGGGTGAGTGTGTGAATCGCGAGTGGGTGAGTAGGTTAACGAGTGGGTGGGCGAGTGTGTGAATAGCGAGTGGGTGGGCGAGTGGGTGGGTGGGTTAGCGAGTGGGTGGGTGAGTGTGTGAATAGCGAGTGGGTGGGTGGGTTAGTGAGTGGGTGGGCGAGTGTATGAATAGCGAGTGGGTGGGTGGGTGGGCGAGTGTGTGAATAGCGAGTGGGTGGGCGAGTGTGTGAATAGCGAGTGGGTGGGTGAGTGTGTGAATAGCGAGTGGGTGGGCGAGTGTGTGAATAGCGAGTGGGTGGGCGAGTGTGTGAATAGCGAGTGGGTGGGTGAGTGTGTGAATAGCGAGTGTGTGAATAGCGAGTGGGTGGGCGAGTGTGTTAATAGCAGGTGGGTGGGTTAGCGAGTGGGTGGGTGGGTTAGCGAGTGGGTGGGCGTGTGTGTGAATAGTGAGTGGGTGGGTGGGTGAGTGTGTGAATAGCGGGTGGCTGGGTGGGTTAACGAGTGGGTGGGTGAGTGTGTGAATCGCGAGTGGGTGAGTAGGTTAACGAGTGGGTGGGCGAGTGTGTGAATAGCGAGTGGGTGGGCGAGTGGGTGGGTGGGTTAGCGAGTGGGTGGGTGAGTGTGTGAATAGCGAGTGGGTGGGTGGGTTAGTGAGTGGGTGGGTGAGTGTGTGAATGGCGAGTGGGTGGGTGGGTTAGTGAGTGGGTGGGCGAGTGTGTGAATAGCGAGTGGCTGGGTGGGTTGTCGAGTTGGTTCATGAGTCGCTTCCCTCCTCCCCTTCCCTTGGCTCGCTCCCTCCCGCTCTCCGTAATATTGCCGAGATGTTCGTTCCCAGACGTTCGATCCGCGACGGGCACATTTCGCGTGTCCCGTCGTCGCCATCGTCGTCGTCGTAGTCGGCGGCGGTGTTGTTGCCGCCGCCGTTTCTCGCCGGGTTGTTTTTTTTTTTCATTCTTTTTTATTAACGCTGTCTCCCAGCTGTCTCCCCTCCCGGTCGCGTTGCTTCAGCAAATTCTCGACCCCTTCCCTCAATCCATGCCCATGCGCTCCTCGAGTTTCACACGGACCACCAACACATGTATCGAAAGGGCTGCCGCTGCTGCCGCTGCTGCCGCTGCTGCCGCTGCTGCCGCTGCTGCCGCTGCTGCCGCTGCTGCCGCTGCTGCCGCTGCTGCCGCTGCTGCCGCTGCTGCCGCTGCTGCTTCTGCTGGCCCCACAGTGGCACGCTGCTGGACTCGCAATCCGGAGGTCGTCGGTTGAATGCGACCTCCCCAGCGTGGCGCTTGAAATGATGTTGGGTGGAGGCTGGGGGTGTACAATAGGGCGCCGCAGTTAACTACCTCGCCTGGTATGCAGGTGGTCGTGGGTTCGATCCAGACCCTGACACCTGCTGTTGTATATTTGGAGTTTGTGTGTCTCTTTCTCATCATCGTCACGGTAGCTAGGATATGTTAACTACCTCGCCTGGTATACAGGAGGTCGTGGGTTTGATCCCGACCTTGACGCCTGCTGTACATTTGGAGTTGGCGTGTCTCTCTCTCATCATCGTCACGGTGGCTAGGAGATGTGAACTACCACGCCTGGTATGCGGGAGGTTCGTGGGTTCGATCCCGACCCTGACGCCTGCTGCTGTATATTTGGATTTCGCGTTACTCGCTTATTTTTTAGAAGCGACCTGGCTAAGGGCAAGTTGCAGCTCCACCGAGGTGGCTTACCATCGCGTGGAAATTCCCAGCGGCCCGAATACACTCAAACACGCGATGTTGACTCTAAATGCAGAGGGGGAGCAAAACGAAGGACGCCGGAAAACAACCACGGGGATAGAGAGAGACACGCAGATGGCAAATATACAGCAGCAGCAGGCGTCAGGGTCGGGATCGATCCCACGACCTCCCGTATACCGAGCGAGGTAGTTAACATCTCACAACTGCAGTGCCCCTGTTCTGCTCGTGCCGCATAGGGTCAGCTTCCAGCAGGAGGTCCCCTAGTGCTGTGGACGCCGCGCTCCGAGACGCTGCGTCATGGGTGCGGTGTGATTGCAAGTTGTGTTGTGCAGCGTTAATGCCTGTCTGTGTGTGTCTCCCCCATGTGTCCGTGCGTCTCTCTGTGTCTCCGTGTGTCTCCGTGTGTCTCCGTGTGTCTCCGTGTGTGTTCTGTGTGTCCGTGGCTCTGCGCGTCTGTGTCTCCGTGCGACTCCGTGTGTCTCCGCGTGTCTGTGTCAACATGTGTCTGTATCTCCACGTCTCTGTGTCAACATGTGTCTCTGCGTGTCTGTCTCCGTGCAACATCGTGTGTCTCTGTGTCTCTGTCTGCCTCCGTGTGTCTGTGTCTCTCTCTGCCTCCGTGCGTCTGTGTCTCCGTGCGACTCCGTGTGTCTCCACGTGTCTGTATCTCCACGTCTCTGTGTCAACATGTGTCTCTGCGTGTCTGTCTCCGTGCAACATCGTGTGTCTCTGTCTGCCTCCGTGTGTCTCTGTGTCTCTGTCCGTCTTCGCGTGTCTGTGTCAACATGTGTCTGTATCTCCACGTCTCTGTGTCAACATGTGTCTCTGCGTGTCTGTCTCCGTGCAACATCGTGTGTCTCTGTGTCTCTGTCTGCCTCCGTGTGTCTGTGTCTCTCTCTGCCTCCGTGCGTCTGTGTCTCCGTGCGACTCCGTGTGTCTCCACGTGTCTGTATCTCCACGTCTCTGTGTCAACATGTGTCTCTGCGTGTCTGTCTCCGTGCAACATCGTGTGTCTCTGTCTGCCTCCGTGTGTCTCTGTGTCTCTGTCCGTCTCCGCGTGTCTGTGCCTCTGCGTGTCCCCGCGTGTCCGTCCCCTTGTCTCTGCCTCCTCGTGTCTCCCTTGCACTTCAGGAGCAGAAGGCCGTCCTGACGTCCATGCTGGTGCTACTTTTCATCGGCCTCTCCGTTCTCTTCGCTCACGTCTTCAGCTGAAGAGCGGTGAGCTGCAGCCGCTACCGCCGCTGCTGCTATTTCTGCTGCAGAAACTGCTGCTCTTTCTGCTGCTGTTGCTGCGGCTGCTGCAACTGTTGCTACTTCTGCTGCCGCTGCTGCTCCTTCTGCAGCTGCTGCCGCTGCTTATGCCGCTGCTTCTGCATCTGCTGCTACTTCTGCTGCCGCTGCTGCTGTTGCTGCAGCTGCTGCAGCTGTTGCTGCTGTTGCTACTTCTGCTGCAGCTGCTGCCGCTGCTGCTGCAGCTCCTACTGCAGCTGCTGCTACTTCTGCTGCTGCTGCTGCCCGCCTCCTTGATCTGCATACTATCGAGGCTACTGAAATTGACGACATCTTGACATCGTCACCACCGCATCGTTATCACCGTCGGCCCAGTAGTGCAGCACGGCTCTGACGGGGCGATTTTTAGGTTTGCAACCCAACTGAAAGCCCCACCGCCCCCCCCCCCTCTCAGCACTCTTGAGCAAATCGTGGGACGTCATCATAATTAAGACTCTATATTTATTCATACTGGGGGGAATCCGATGAGCTGTGAAGCTCTTTTTCACCGATGTCCGGTCGTGATGATAATGTAGTATGCGCGGCGTTGGCGCTGTCGGAGGAAGGCACCGCTGAGTTTCGCAGACACTGCCCGGCGGTAGATTCACAGATGTGGGCAGTGATGATGCTGCTGCTGATGCTGCTGAGTGGTTTTCAAGGTAAATGTTTCAGCATTGGGGATGTTTGGCCAACGCCGGCTACGTTGCGAGTGAGCGTGTTTAGCTACGGGCGGGAAATGGGGGAACCCAGACGTAGACCCACGCAGAAGCGGGGAGAGAATTTACAAACTCCGCTCAGTCACACGCTCACACACTCACGCTCGCACACTCTCACACTCATCCCTGCAGAAGCGGGGAGAGAATTTACAAACTCCGTTCAGTCACACACTCACGCTCGCACACTCTCACACTCTCACACTCATCCCTGCAGAAGCAGGGAGAGAATATACAAACTCCGTTAAGTCACACACTCACACACTCACGCTCGCACACTCTCACACTCATCCCTGCAGAAGTAGGGGGAGACTATACAAACTCCGCTCAGTCACACACTCACACACTCACACGCTCGCACACTCTCACACTCATCCCTGCAGAAGCGGGGAGAGAATTTACAAACTCCGCTCAGTCACACACTCACACACTCACACACTCTCACACTCTCACACTCATCCCTGCAGAAGCGGGGAGAGAATTTACAAACTCCGCTCAGTCACACGCTCACACACTCACGCTCGCACACTCTCACACCCACCCTGCAGAAACGGGGAGAGAATTTACAAACTCCGCTCAGTCACACACTCACACACTCTCACACTCATCCCTGCAGAAGCAGGGGGAGAATATCGCTCAGTCACACACTCACACACTCACGCTCGCACACTCTCACACTCATCTCTGCAGAAGCAGGGGGAGAATATTCAAACTCCACTCAATCACAAACTCCACTCAATCCCACACTCATCCAATAACAATACTCTACAGCACGACGGACAGACAGGTAGAGACAGATCCGTTCTCTCACACCTTGTCCCCCCCCCCCCTGTCTGTCTCTTGTCCCCGTTCCGTGACGCTTCACAGAGAGGCCACGGGAGATGGCACGGCAGGGGAGGAGGAGGGAGGGTGGGGGGGGGGTGATCCGACGCACGGAAGGGGGGCGAGAAGATTTTGTTGTTGTTGTCGTCGTCGTCACGAGCTGCCGTTGCTTTGAAGATGAAACGAAGGAGTTGAAAACGCCACGACCATCGGTCTGAGAGGGGTGGCGGTGGGGGCTGGAAGTGGCGGGTGACGGCCAATTGGGGTCACTCGCCGCCAGAGACTCCGCACCGAAGTTAACAAAATCAGAACTCTTCCATTTCGCACCGACGACGGTGGGGGGGGGGGGGGGGGCGCCTTTTTGACGATGGCGCCGCGCGACCTTCGACCCCCGCGCCGTTGCCCGGCCCGGCCCGGCATGCGGAACGCGAGCCCGACGAGACCGCGCGGGTCTCGCGGACGGACAAGCAGATGGACAGACGGACGGGGAGATGAACAGACAGACGGACAGACGGACGGGGAGATGAACAGACAGACGGACAGACGGACGGGGAGATGAACAGATAGACGGACAGACGGACGGGGAGATGAACAGACGGATGGACGGACACGGGCGCGCGCAGGCGGTCGCGTCACGCGCGCAGCTGTGCGCCGTAAACGTTGCGCACCCATTGGGCGAACGTTGCAGCGTCGCGCAGACGGACGGACGGACAAGCAGGTGGACGGGCAGAGAGATGAGAGGAGCGGACGAATGGGCAGACGAGACACAGGCGAAGCAGTTGAGCGGACAGACGAGCGGGGGATATTCGTGATGAAGGGGTTGGTTTTTTTGGGGGGGTTTAGACAAGCAGGCGGACAGATAAGCAAGCGAGCAGACACGCAGACAGACACGTAGACAGACACGCAGACAGACACGCAGACAGACAGACACAAGCATGTTGCAGTATTTCGCTTCGCCGAAGGCTGAGCTTGTAATTGTTCTGTGACACAACAAAATATATGATGAACCTGAATGCCTGATTTTTATTATTTTATCGATTAGCGGGGGGGGGGGGGGGGGGTTTGTGGGGGTCGTTGGTGGTGGGGGGGGACTACTGGGGGGAGTTGAGCGAAGAGCAACGGGTGGGTGGGGGGGGTAGGGTGGGGGGTAGGGTGAGTGGGGGGGTAGGGTGGAGGGCGGGTAGGGTGGAGTGGGGGGTAGGGTGGGTGGGTGGCGGCCTTTGATAATTTCCAATACCGGGAAGACACGAGTGGACGTTGGAGCCAAACGAAGCAAAAAAATTGAATCGCCGTCTCGCGAATCTCCACGCCCTGCCGGCGGTGGCGGCAAACCGGGCACCGCGGCACGGGGAGAAGAAACGGATTGTTCGGCAAGTGATTTGGTTAAGGTGGTGGTGCGGCTGTGGCAGGCGGTGACGGTGCGGTGAAGGTGGTTGCGTGGCTGCGGCAGGCGGTGATGGTGCGGTGACGGTGCGGTGAAGGTGGTTGCATAGCTGCGGCAGGCGGGGAGCTGTATCGGTGACGGTTCGGTGAAGGTGGGGGAGCGGCTATGGCAGGTGGTGATGGTGCAGTGACGGTGCGGTGAAGGTGGTTGCATAGCTGCGGCAGGCGGGGAGCTGTATCGGTGACGGTTCGGTGAAGGTGGTGGCTCGGCTGCGGCAGGCGGTGACTGTGCGGTGACGGTGCGGTGAAGGCGGTGGCGCGGTTGCGATAGCCCAGCGTGGGCTGCCTCGCGGCCACGGTCCGCGTTCGTGCGAGGGGGGTTGGCTGATCCGGCGTTTCCCACGGCCACAGGGAAGAGACCCGGGCGCCGCCGTTGCATGTTTCTGCGGCTCGGCTCGCTTCCTGCTGCCGGCGCCGCTTCAGAGAGCCGCCAGGGGCCTCCGTGGGGCTACGGGACAGCCGGAGGCAGTCGCACTCCCAGCAGCACCAGCAGCAGCAGCGGAGGGCAGAGAAGCGACGCTCGCAACAACGAGCGGAGCGCTGGAGGGTGGGGGGAGGGGTGCTAAAAATGCAGCGAGTTGGCACAGTAGGGGGCACATGGGTGTTGCATCTTTCTTTTATTTGACCAGATAAGCCCCCACTGAGCTATGACGCTTTTTTTCAGAAGTGACCTGGCGCATCGCAAATGATAGCTCTACGAAGTGGCTTATCGCGTGGACATTTAAAGCAGCCAAATGCTGTAAACGCGTGACGTTGGTTCTAAATGCGGAGGGACAAACCGGATGACCCGGAGAAAAATCCACGCGACCACAGGGAGAGAGAGAGAGACACGCAGACTCCAAATATACAGCAGCAGGCGTCAGGGTCGGGATAGTACCCACGACCTCCTGTACACCATGCGAGGTAGTTAACATCTCCTAGCCACCGTGATGATGATGAGAGAGAGAGAGAGACACGCAAACTCCAAATATACAGCAGCAGGCGTCAGGATCGGGATAGTACCCACAACCTCCTGTACACCAGGCGAGGTAGTTAACATCTCCTAGCCACCGTGATGATGATGAGAGAGAGACATGCAAATTCCAAATATACAGCAGCAGGCGTCAGGGTCGGGATCGAACGCACGACCTCCTGTATACCAGGCGAGGTAGTTAATATCTCCTGGCCACCGTGATGATGATGAGAGAGAGACACGCAAATTCCAAATATACAGCAGCAGGCGTCAGGGTCGGGATCGAACGCACGACCTCCTGTATACCAGGCGAGGTAGTTAACATCTCCTAGCCACCGCCAGTGATCTCAATCGGTCAACCCACGGCACCAGCTGGGTTCCGCCCCGTGACCCCCTCTGTCAGGGGCGAGCCTTCGACACTTCACGTGGCCTCGGAGTGCACCTGGCCTGGCACAGGCGCCGTGGCGATGTCACTGCCGCTTGGTGGCGAATGGCGACGGCTGCTGCTGCTGTTGTCGCGTGTGTAGGTAGGTGGCTAGGTTCGTTGTCGGACGCCGTTTTGCGCATGGATCGAGGGCCTGGGGGATGTCGCGAAGTGGGCGACGGTGGTGAGGTCATCAGCCCCTAGCCGCCCCACGCTCCTCCTCCTCCTTGGCTCTTAATGGAATCTCAAATTGCGATAATTCGTCTTATTCTTCTTCTTGGACGTGATTGCCTTCTGAGGTTTGTGTCTAAACATTGTTGGGGGGGGGGTGGTGGGGTGGTCGGGGTTTTAAAAGAAAGAAAAAAGTTCATTAGCTCCGGCGTTGGAAGCTTTGCCATAAGCGAAGGTGCAAAAACTAACAAGCCAGCCGAATGTCCATCCGCCTTTTGATGTTCTCATTTATTGTACTTTGGCGAGCCTTAAAGGCTCAACTTTGCCTCGAATTTGCCGAATATTTGTGGGGTTGTTTTTCCCGATAGCTGCCTGCGACAACGGCAGCGGCGGCATAATTTATTTATTTAACCAGGGAAATCCTCGCCGAGACTGCTTTTCTTTGTTTTTTTTCGCCAGCCCCGTCAAACATGTCGAGTGGAGTCGCTCTTCTTCCCCTCTTAGCCGAGCCTGGCCGTCGCGAGGCTTTGCGAGCCAAATCGAATGCAACGTTTTCGTGGTCCACGGCTGTTGCCTCCCCCCCCCCCCGCCGTTGCGAGCGGTGTCGCAGCGGTGAGAGCACAGTGATAACCTAAACAACAACAAAAAAACGAGTTTTATACTCTTTGGTTCTTTCGGTAAAGTCACGTAGGTAGAAATAAAATAAAATAAAAAATTTTAAATGTATTTCTACCTACGTGGGTAGAAATAAAATAAAATTATTTTATTTATTTCTAGAAATAAAATAAAACCATTTTTTTTAAAAATTATTTCTACCTACGTGGGTAGAAATAAAATAAAATTATGTCGTTTTATTTCTACCTACGTAGGTAGAAATACCCACGTAGGTACAAATATAATTAAAATAAAATTGCTTTATTTTTTTTCTAGCCACGTAGGTAAAAATTAAATAAATTGCATATTTTTATTTCTACCCACGTGACTTTACCGAAAGAACCAAAGAGTATGGATTCCTGCAGTCACGAAAGCTTCAAATCAAGATTAAAACGAGTTTAGTTTGAGCAGGTTGTGCCCACCGATCCGATGCAGCTCTCTTTCAGAAGCGACCCGTCCATCACACATGATAGCTCAACGAAGTCGGCGGCTTTCTCATCATCATCATCGTCGCGTGGAAATTCACAGCAAGGCCGATATGAAGCGTGGTGGCCGGAGTTCGACTCCCGACCCGCGGGCTTACACCAGCGACGAGCGAAATATGATCTGAACCGGTTTCCCTGGGGTCGTCATCCTTGACAAAAGCCTCGCACTGACCAGCGCGGTGAAAAAAATCGTGTGGTCGCGACACGTGGAGGTCTTCGTCCGGAGCGGAGTGGTTGGGGTTTTTAAACGATCGGCTGTGCGAAATGTGGCTCTCTTTTTGTTTTGTTTTGCCGCTCGTCAAAATGTTTCGACTCCAAATTCGTGAAAGCCCAATGTCCCGCAAATAAGCGTGGCGTTCGCTGTCGGTCGTCGGCCCACCCCACGTGACCGGGAATACTCTCGCAAGCGATTGGCTGCGGAGACAATGGGGGAGGGGGGGGCCACGTGGGAATAAGGTTCGTGGGTTTGGGATCGTTGGCTCAACGAGGGATTCGTAATCGGAGTTCGCGAGAGGTTTTTAAAGGCCCGGGCTGTCCGCATTTCAACAGCAACAACAACAACAACAAATAGATTTCGACAACAACAAAGAGTCAACTCTCGATAATTAATTACCCACGGTTCATGGGAGAGGGCGGTCCGGATAAAACCAAACAACACGGAATGATGCAAAAAACAAACACGCGCGCGTCACTCGAGATGTCGCGTGGACTGGCAGGCCTCTTCTTGCCCTGGCCCTCTCACCGCACGGGACGCTGTGTGGTACGCGCTTTGAACTTCTTTCGCACCGTACGTGGCCGATCGTGCGTGTGCTGGGGGCGGGCGGCAAACGAAACCGCGCGAAAGAAAAAGGAACGTTTCTTAAAGAAAGGAGTTTTCAGTCGTGGATCAGGGCTCGGCAACGTGCTCTTTATTGGCTGCTTCGTGACGTGGTTCACACGGAATTGCGGCTCTTTAAATGTCGATTGTTTTTCTTGGGGGGGGGGGGTGTTTGTTACCGGGATTCCAAAATAACGTCTCTTGTTATTTTAATTGTCGACCCCCTCTAATCTAGACGACTTAAACGTGGCACAGCTCCCAGCAGCAGCGGCTTCCCAATGTCGGGAGGGGAAAGAGCGTTCCAGACGGCCGCGGGAGCAGTGCGACCACCGCCGTTCTTTTTAGTTCGACGGCTCGCAGCCAAAAGCCGCCGCCGCCGCTTCGAGGATGAGCGGAGTTGGCGCGATGATGATGATGGTGGTGATGATGATGATGGTGGTGGCGATGATGGTGGTGATGATGATGATGGTGGCGATGATGATGATGGCGGTGATGATGATGGTGGCGATGATGATGATGGTGGCGATGATGATGATTCTAGATTTGAAGCTTTCGTGACTGCAAGGATTCATACTCTTAGTTCTTTCGGTAAAGTCACGTAGGTAAAAAATGAAATTAAAATTAATAAAAATAAAAAAATATTTTTATTGTTTTATTTTTATTAATTTAATTTAATCTTTTTTTACCTACGTGACTTTACCGAAAGAACTAAGACGATGATGATGGTGGCGATGATGATGATGGCGATGATGATGATTTTGGCGATGATGATGATGGTGGCGATGATGATGATGGTGGCGATGATGATGGTGACAATGATGATGGTAGCGATGATGATGATGATGGTGGCGATGATGATGATGGTGGCGATGATGATGATGATGGTGGCGATGATGATGATGATGGTGGCGATGATGATGATGGTGGCGATGATGATGATGGTGGCGATGATGATGGTGGCGGTGATGATGGTGGTGGTGATGATGGTGATGATGGTGGCGATGATGATTCTAGATTTGAAGCTTTCGTGACTGCAAGGATTCATACTCTTAGTTCTTTCGGTAAAGTCACGTAGGTAAAAAATGAAATTAAAAT